GCTTTTCGGCAGCAACGAGTTCATGGTGTGAGGCGCTTGGCCGCGAGGACTGCGGAGCGTCGCCGCCGTCACCTCCTGGGTCCGTCAGGGCCAGTCCCGGTGGTGGCCGGATGTGGGTTCCATAGGGTTTGGATGTTGAGCCCCCTTCCCGCTATGTCACCGGGATTTGGGGGCACCTCCTGCCTTCGCCCGGCCGCTGCCGCCGGTTCGTGGGATTTGGTGGGGTTGTGGGTTCTTTTCTCTCCGTGACGGCTCCATAAACTCCCGGGGAGGCCCTCAGCAGACCAAGCTCTTCTCACCCGCTGTTTTATGATGCTCTTTGCAGCGCCGCCCCCCGAGCCACCATCGCCATTTGCCTGATAGGGAGCCCGGTGCAAAGCCCAGTTGCTGCGATGGGAAGAGTGGACAGATATTTATTTTGGGGAAGGGGGGGAGGATTTTTTACCACCAACCATCAGGGAAAGGAGGAAAAGGAAAAATAAACCAACGCCGCTGCTTAGCCCAAAGCCAAACGTCCGTGCCCTGGTGCCGACAGCCATAGCTGGGCCCCAGCGTCGCGGAGGGGAGGAAGCCAAGGTGGAAGAGGCTCCGTTTGAAGCCCGCCACTGTCGGAGCTGGAAACAAAGGCATGGAAAAGCGGTAGGGAAAAGCTGCCCAAAGTCACCTTCGCCATGTTGACCTAACCAACGTCCCCCTTTTGAAGACCATCAGTATTAAAAGATTAATAATAATAATAATGATAATAATCGAGGACTACTTGAAGCTATATTTGTTTATATTCTGGTTACTGAAGTTCGTTGTAAATATATTTTTTTATACTTTTTTTTTTTAAACTCCATTTTTCCACCCACTTCCCTCTCGCCCCCCCATTTTTGCCAGGGCAGAAGGTCACTGGAGGGAAAAGCCACAGGGCCATTTCTCAGCAGCGCTGCGTCACATATATATACAAATATTTTAAGAGAAATCTATAGAACTATGATGAACCCGGCTTAGAAGCAGTGTCCGTGACTAGTTGTCAGCACTAGCTAATGACTTGGCGCTCATAATCCCTGCCTGGTGGCTTCCTCGGCCAGCACATGAGCTCGCCCGCTTGCCCAGGCCCCGCGCGCCGGTCCCCGCCCTGCGCTCCCGCGCAGGCGAGGAGGCGCCCCGGGACGGTGACTGCGTCAGGACGTGCCGCCCGTCGCCTTGCCCTCAGCTCGGGCTCCATCCAGAGCTGCCTCTTGGCCGCCCCGCTCACTCCGCGCGCACCCGAGCGCCCAAAGCTGGCGCCAAACCCTGGCACTTGAGTCTTCCTGGGATGCTTCCTGATTCTGCATCCCGGCGCCTGGGGCTAGAGTGAGGCCGCGAGGCCGAGCTCGAGTGCTGCCTGTGCTGCCTGCGTTACCCACCTTCCAGCTAGCGGGTCTGCGTGCACCTTCCTGGACCTGAACGTGGCTCTGCTTTTCCTGTGGTTCAGCTCCTGATCCTGCCTGCCTGGATTGCCTTTTTTTTTTTTTTTTTTCCCCTTCCATTTTTGCAAGGATAAAGAGGTGCTTGAAGCCACGTGGGGAGCGGTGCCAGCCGTGGGGGTCTGAGTGCCCCGAGCTCCCTCCGCTGCAGATAAAGTCTGGATGGGTTTTTCTACCGGATCCAGAGCTCTCGGGAAGGTGGGCACTGGTTCTGACGGGGGAAAATCCCTAGGGAAACCCTGCCGGCTCCCCAGATCCCTCCAGGAAGGGAAGTGGGAAGGGGCCAGGAAAGGCGAGTGAGCGGAGCTGGCCGCACTGCCGCCGGGGTGGAAGAGGGGCCGCTCCGGTGGCGCCTCTCCGAGCTCCGCACCCAAAGCGCCCGCCGAGAGCCCGAGAGCTGCTCGGGTTGTCCCGCTGCCTCCGGCGGGGCGCTCGCCCTGCTCTGAGCTCGTGCCAGGAGAGTGGAAAAAAAAAAATATATATATATATATATATGTGTGTGTGTGTGTGCGCGCATATATATATATATATATATTTTTTTTTAAGGCTGTTTTTGTGTAATTGTCTCATTGCATCTATTGCCCCCAGTTTCTGCAGAGCAGCTGCTTTGGGTGGGTGTCCCATTTCCAGGCAGGCGAAGAAGCCGTGTCAGGAACAGGGCCTAGCGGGAGCCTCCCGAGTCGGGAAGAGGGTGAGCCTGGATCCACAGATCCTGCCCGGGAGGAGTAGCCGCAGGCTTCTCCCTTCCTTTCCTGTTTCCAACCCAGAGCTTCCAGCCCCAAACTTCCCTTTCTCCTGTTTTCCTTCACCCTAACCTTTCATTTCCTTTTTATTTCCTTTTATTTTTTTTTCTTTTGTGGAGGGAATGGCGGGGGGGACAGCAGATGGTTTCAGCAGAGCGACCTGGAGTTTCGTTCCCGTCCACGGCGAGTCGGAGGCCGCCCGGCTGCTCCCTGGGGCAGCGGGAAAGCCGGGAGGTTTCTCGGGGGAGCCGCTGGGCTCCTCGCACCAAGTGAATGTACTTACTACTGGAAAGGACACGTGGGCTGCGTATGCTTAATTATTATTTTTATCGGGGAAGAAATTTTTTTAAAAAGTAATTTATAAGTATGCTGAGTGTAAATTAAAAAAAAAAAAGTATGTATTGTAAGAGGATATATTATCCTGTGTCATACTCTCTATAAAATTTACCTGTTTAAAAAAAAAAAAAGGAAAAAGAGAAAAAAAATGGTAATTATATAAAGGAGAATGATTTATCTTGCCCCCCCGGGCCGCATGGGGTGCAGTCACACAGCCAGCTGGCAAGCTGTTACCGTCGTGTCCGCCGGTTCCCTTTAATTTGGGGGGAATTAATGTTATTTTTCTTTCCTTTCTGGACTAAGGCCGTCGTCTGTATAAAAGTGCAATTTGTGTCCGATGTCCCACGCGTTTGCTGTATGGCTGTACAAAGCGACTCGAGGAGCCGATGAACCCCTGCGCGCATTAAAGGAGGACGTGGTCCCCAGGCTGCTGCTGTGTTTCCTGGGGACGCGGCTGGGGCCCGAGGGGGGACGTCATGAAGGTGTCGCTGGGATGCTGCCTCTGGCGCCGGGATGCTGGAGCAGCCGGCAGCGCCTCTGCTCCCTGGCGTGGGCTGGAAGCCACCGGGAGGTGGGTGGATTTGGTGTTGGCCACTGGAGGAGCAGCTCCATCCCCGAGGGCACCTCGGGGCCGGGGTGTCCCTGGCTGAGCAGCGAGATGCCGCGGTCCCCACTGGGGTGCTGCAAGCGGGACGTCCCCGGCGGTGCTGGGCCGCCCGGGCCACCTTGTCTGCAGCCGCAGCAGCCCCTCTTCCCCCGCAGCCGGCGGCGAGGACCAAAGCGCCCGCAGGTGGCAGCGACCCCCAAGCACCAGCTTTAGGCCCCGTACGAGCCCGGGAGCCGGGACCCGGCGCCCCCCCCTCCACTTGCCCCATGGCACCCAGCCGTGGGGCGCAGGGATTGCGGCTGCGCTGCCCCTCGTGCCCGCCCTGCTGGGTGCTGGGCCCAAGGAGAAGGCGGTTTGGGCCCAGGGGCCTGTTGCAGCAGCCCAGAAACAGCTTGCGATGACCCACCACGGCGAGGGGACCCAGGCGAGGGGCGCCCAGGGCCAGGACCTGGAGAATAGGTCTCTTGGAGCGGAGATGGAGCAGCTCGGCCAGGAATGCTGCAGGAAAGGCGCAGTGTCCCAGTGCTGCCCCCAGCACTCCCCTCGCCCAGCACTGTTCCTGCAGGATGCCCCCTCCCAGTGTGGTGTCAGGATGGATGAGCCCTATGGCAGCAGCAGGACTAAATCCCCCCAGGGATGATCCTGAAAGCCAAAACTGCTATTGCTGGGTCATCACAGCGGCCAGTAAATCTGGTTTGGGAGCATCCTGCGGCGCTGGGGGCTTGAGCAGCGGCGTGGGTCAGTTCTTGAACATGTCGCAGAGCAGCTTCTCCATGGGGGTGTTGCCGATGGTGCGGCGGAAGAAGAGGAGCTCCACGCGCTCGGAGGAGATGAAGCGCAGCGCCGGCAGGAGCAGCAGCAGTTTGCCGAACCTGGCGAGGGCGAATGGGACCCGTGGGCTCCCTCCTGCCGCTGGGTCCCAGCCCTAGGAGGGTGCTCAGGGGAGAGCTGGGGTGGTACCTGACGGGCTGCCCGGGGTAGTGCGTCCGGTTGTGCTGGCCCAGCATCACCTGGGACTGGTCCTGCAGGTTCTCTACCTGCTCGGGGTCCTTCAGGCCACGGGTCTCTGGGGAAAAGGACGGGTGTTGGGGCCAGCTGGGGGCCAGCACGAGCTGCCCCCGGCCGCGGCCACCCAGCTCACCTGGCTTGAAGAGCACCACGGCCTTCATGCAGGCGAACTCGGTGGGGTCGACGGCCAGTGCCTTGAAGCGGCTGAGGGTCTCCTGCAGGACACGGACGTCCACGGTGGCAGGCACCAGCTTGCCGGGGGCACTGGGAGCCAGTTCGGGCACGGCCAGCAGTGGGCAGCTCTCCAGGGGCATGGACCACTGGATGGCACAGAGCAGGAACAGCTCGCTCCAGGCTTCCTCCAGCAGGATCACCTGCAGGGACCATGTCAGCCCCGGCTGGGGTGCTCCGGCACCTCCTCGTCCCCCCATCTTGCTCCCCAGCTGGTTAGAGCACATCTGGAGAAGGATGTCCCCCAGCCACAGCATCCCCAGATAGACAGTTCTGGGGCGGCACTGATGCCACCCTAGAGCTGTCTATCTGGTGAACTGCAGTGGCCACCACCACGAGGTGCCCTGACTCCCTCCCATTGCCTCTTTTCCCTGAATCCCCTGGGAAATCCCCTCCCCTGTCAGCCTGGGACCCCCGTGGGTGCCCGTGGATCTGCACCCATGGACCCACCTGGTCACGGAAGGGCAGGTTGGAGAAGACCGGGAGGTTCTTGGCCCACTTGACGGCCATGAAGAGGAGCCGGGCCGAGGTCTCGTAGACGTTTTCGGGGCTGCCCGCCGGGTAGGGCGCTAGCTGGTACTCGCCGGCAGCCCGCTCCGGCTCACTGCCCGTCACATCCACGGTCTCGTCGGCTGCACGAAAGCCAGAGCCGCTCACAGCGGTGCCCCCATGGCGTGGTCCCCACCGCCCCCCGCAACGCACCGTCCTCAGGCTCCAGCTTGGTGCAGGGCTTGGCCGGCATGGGGCTCCT